AGCTGAATGCCGAGAAGCCAAACTCCATCGTGGACCCGCTGGTGCGCATTGAGATCCACGGGGTGCCCGCAGACTGTGCTTGCAAGGAGACCAACCATGTGCTCAACAACGGTGGGGGCCCCACTGGGGCGAGCTGGGGGCAGACTGCGGGGAGCGGGGCAGGTGCAGGGTGGGCTCTTGACGGACAGGCCTGTGCCCTAGGCTTCAACCCGCACTGGGGGCAGACCCTGCAGTTCCAGCTGCGGGCTCCGGAGCTGGTGCTGGTCCGGTTCGTGGTAGAAGATTATGACGCCACGTCCCCCAATGACTTCGTGGGCCAGTTTACGCTGCCTCTCAGCAGCCTGAAGCGAGGTTGGTGGGCTTGATGGGGGCGGAAGGAGAAGCGGGGCCGGGCCTCCAAGACCCTGTTCACCCGGGCTGCGCACTCCCTCCGAGAGCCTGGCCCCGCAGGGCGGTGGGCAGAGAAGCTGACACCAGGCCACCCTCCCGGCAGGATACCGCCACATCCACCTGCTTTCCAAGGACGGGGCCTCACTGTCACCAGCCACCCTCTTTGTCCACATCTGCATCCAGCACTCCTGACGGCACAGCTGAGCCACGCTGGGCTCTGCAGGTGCCAGTCTGCATCCCTCAGCGAGGCCCTCTCCTCCTCGAGTGGAGGGGTGACGGAGGGCCGCAGCCCTCCAGCCGCCCACGTAGCCTGCCCGCCAGGCTCTGTTCTCATCTGGGTGCTGAGGGCCGCCTCAGCCCCTCCTGAAGAACAGGCAGTTGATCTTTTCCCTGGGCTGTGAGATGCCCCCAGCTCCTCGGGTGCTCAGCCCACCTGGTCGTCGTGGCTTCTGAAGAGCCAGGCCCGTTGCTGCCAGCAGACTTGGGGAGCAGGACGTGTAAGCCCTCGGCCACTCTCTGCCCCGTCCCAGCCCCCTTCCCACAAGGAGCCCAGCCACCCCCTTGCCCCCCTCCCCAGGCGTTAGCCACCCGCTAAGGCCCTCCTTCCCCCTCCAGGCTTTCTGGGCTCCTCCCTCCAGCTCTGGAACCTGAGCGCCACTCCCTTGTTAAAGCAAGCAGGGAGAGGGAGGCTCAGCCCTGGGGAAACCTAGGAGATTTTTAACTTGTCTTAGAAGAGCCCTGGAGAGGACAGCAGAACAAAATAAAGAAGCAAGTTTATTTTACCATTGCCACCCCCTGAGCACCTCTGAGGCCACAGCCACAGGCCTATGAGGAGGGATGGGGCAGAGGGAGCATCCCTTGGGCCTCTTGCTGCATCTGGGCTCCCTGTCTAAGACAGCCAGGGGTGCTGGAGGAGCTGCCGCAGCTCAGAATAGCCCTGACCCTTCCTCTTGGCTCAAAGCTGCTGCCAGCATCACAAGACTGTGAGGACAGCAGTTCACAAAGCCACCCCCCACAGCACGTACACCAGGGGCCTTGGACGCGGAGGGGGCAGGTAGGTGGGCTTCTGCCAGAGCAGGTTTGTTGTGGCCCTCAAGGGGGCGGGGACAGGCCTCTGAGGGACTCCAGACAGAGTCCCCCTTTCTAGGCTCAGCTGGGTTCGAGGCCCCCGTCTGCTCAGTAGACGAATCCCAGAGACCCGGAACTCTCCTTCCACCAGCCAACCAGCCTTCTAGACAAAGGCCTGGAAAGCAGTGGGCCACCCCAGGCCCCCCTAGAGATGCTGGGAGAGCGTGCCCAGACACCAGAAGGCGGAATCCAGAGGAAACCTATCAGAAAGGTGACTTTCTGGGATTAAATGTGGAGCCCTGGCATCTGGGGTTCCCTCAAGCAACAGCACCAACCCTGAACAAGGGCTGAGCTTGATGGCAGTTCCCATCAGGGTGGCCTGGGGCAGGGCCTGGGCTGGGCTGGGGCTGGAAGCTGCTCCCATAGAACCCAGGGCTGGGCTGTCTCCACCTTCCTGCCATGACCTGATGCAGGAAGTGACAGCCTCACCCTGCTCTCGTTTACACCAAGAGGGGCATTTGGTTCTGAGGAATTAGTGTGTCTGAAAGAAGACAATCAGACTCTGAAGGGGCCCAGATCCCACCCCCCCACCCCCCCC